AGGAGCAGCGGGTGCAGCATGCATGTGGAAGGGACTTATTGGAAAGGGAGGACACGACAGGAGGGAGGACAGGGTGCAGAGGCAAGTCCTCTCTAGATGAAGATGCAACGGTGATTTGCAAAGTCTCCAGGACAGTTCCTGTAAAATAGGGGCATTGAGGATGCTTGGGGCCCAGCCACAGGATCATGTCTGTAATCCCAGCACTTTGGGAGGCTGAGGCGGGTGGATCACCTGAGGTCAAGAGTTTGAGACAGCCTGGCCAACATGGTAAAACCTCATCGCTACTAAAAATACAAAATTAGCCCAGGTGCAGTGGCTCATGTCTGTAATCCCAGCACTTTGGGAAGCCGAGGCGGGTGGATCACGAGGTCAAGAGATCGAGACCATCCTGGCGAACCAACTTGGTGAAACCCTGTCTACACTAAAAATACAAAAAAAATGGCTGGGCATGGTGGCGCATGCCTGTAGTCCCAGCTACTCAGAGGCTGAGGCAGGAGAATCGCTTGAACCTGGGAGGCAGAGATTCCAGTGAGCCAAGATTGCGCCACTACACTCCAGCCAGGCAACATAGTGAGACTCCATCTCAAAAGAAAAGAAAATTAGCTGGGCATGGTGGTGGGTGTCTGTAATCCCAGCTACTCAGGAGGCTGAGGCAGGAGAATCCCTTGAACCCGGGAGGCAGATGTTGCAGTGAGCCAGGATCACACCATTGCAATCCAACCTGGGGGACACAGTGAGACTAGGCCTCGAAATCCTTGGATAGCGTGAGAATCAAAGGATAAAAGGATATGAAAATGCTTTGAGGCCAGGTGACATGACTCACACCTATAATCCTAGCACTTTTGGAGGCCAAGGAGGGTGGATTGCCTGAGCTGAGGAGTTCGAGACCAGCCTGGGCAACATGGCAAAACCCTATCTCTGTTAAAAATACAAAACTTAGCTGGGTGTGATGGTGGGCACCTGTAATCCCAGCTACTCAGGAAGCTGAGGTAGGAGAATCCCTTCAGCTTAGGAGGCAGAGATTGCAGTGTTGAGATCTCGCTACCGCCCTCCAGCCTGGGTGACAGAGCAGGATTCCATCAAAAAAACAAAACAAAACAAAAAGCCAAAAAAAAAAAAAAAAAACAGGGCATGGTAGCTCATGCTGTAATCCCAGCACTTTGGGAGGCAGAGGTGGGCAGATAACCTGAGGTCAGGAGTTTGAGACACGCCTGACCAACATGGAGAAACCCTGTCTCTATTAAAAATACAAAATTAACCAGGCATGGTTGCATGCCTATAATCCCAGCTACTCGGGAGGCTGAGGCAGGAGAATTGCTTGAACCAGAGAGGCGGAGGTTGTGGTGAGCTGAGATGGAGCCATTGCACTCCAGCCTGGGCAAAAACCTCGAAATGCCGTCTGAAAAAACAAAAACAAACCAAAAAACACGCTTTGAGAGAAAAAGAGGGTGTGGTCTGTAACTCATTTTGTGAAGCTGTACCCTCACCTTGATACCCAAACCAGACAAAGACACAAGAAGAAAGGAAAGTTTTGGGCCAGACTCACTCATTAACAAGGTCTCAAAGATCCTAAAAAGTCTTAGCGAACAGAAACCAACGACAAAAAAAGGAAACGTCGAATTCAATTCAACAAACGTTTGAGCACCCACAAAGTGTCAGGTACTGTTCAGGGCATGGGGGCACTGTGCTAAGTAAAACTGATGGGAATCCTGGCTGTGATGAAGCTTAAAACTGGGAGGAGGTGAAAGAAAACCAGAAAATACAGATGCCATGTGTTTCACAGGTGCAGAATACAAGGCGAACACTTGAGAAAGAAATAATTTCTCAAGGCAACATTAAATCAACCTCCATCTCTACTGAACGTCCTAAACAACAACAGCGCCGCAGCGGCAAGGACTTGCCTTCCTTCTTAGGGTCATCCACGTTCGCGTCCCCTGCCCGGCAGGTTGAAGGCTCATCGCGGCCGCCGCCTCCTTCCATGGAGAGAGCTGTCAGAAGTCACTGCAGGGTGAAAGGGGACCAGAAGGTGAGCGCGTGTCAGGGCCCAGGGCTCCTGGTTCCTTCAGCCTTCGGCTCACAGGGGCAGAGAACTAAAGGTCGTGGCCAGGTCCGGGAGAGGCGGTGCGGGGTCGCTCTGAAATAATCGCATCCCAGGGGACCCCAGGGGCCGAGTGCCGCCAGGCCCGGAGTCAGCCCGAGCGCTATCGGACGAGATAACGGAATTCTCGGCTTCTGGGCCAGAGTGTTGGGGGCTCTGGTTGCGCGGGGGGGCAGCCCTGGACCTCCCTACATCCCAGACCTTGGTGCGAGGCGCCACGGTAACCCCGGCTCGAGCCCAGGCCCGGCTCCCGGTGGCACGCGGCCCCTCCCCGTGCCGAGAACGTCTGTACCGCGGGCACCTGGCCCACCCAACACCCTTCGCCCCCGCCCCCGACCCCGACCCCCTTACCTAGAGCCGCGACGACGCAGGACGCGCCTCCGGTACGGATTTAAACGCGGCGCCGAACGACGCGGGCTGCCGATTGGTGGGTTTGAAAAGGGCTCCGTGAGGCGGTGGGCCCGATGCATCCTGGGGATTGTAGTCGGGACGCCGGTAAGAAACACCCCGCGCGCATGCGAACTGCTTCAACGCAGTGATTGGCTCCGCACGGCGCGGGGGGGGGGGCGCTCCCACCCGGAAGAGCGCCTGACCTGGTCGCCTAGTGTCTCTTCGCCGTCCGCATCAGCCGGAACCACGTAGGGCAGCTCTTCGTGTGTAGGGAGAAAGTTAAAACTGCCACTTAAGGGTGTCGATGGGAAGAACCAAACCAAGTAGGCTCACCCACCTTCTGCGAAGCCGCGCGCGCCAGCTTTTACTAACACAGTAGTGAAAAGGCGCGGTCCCTGCCCGGGGGCGCGCACGGTTGCGCCGGGTGACTCAGGGACCAGGAGACTCATGGCCGGAGCTGCACAGTCTGTGCGGTCGGAGGAGAACCGTTGCCCTTCACGGGCTTCCCCAACCGCCAAGGCCTGAGGACGGCCGAGGGCGAGGCGAGAGCCTGTCCTGGGCTTTACAGGCCAGCTGGGGAGCTGCGGTGGAGGAAAGAGGCCCCCGGTGATGGAGCCTGCCTTGGGGAGTGCATATGCTGGGGAGGGGTGGGACGCAAATAGGACATCCCTAACCTGAGCCATAGAGACGCAAGGACAGGACTGGCCGACGGGTCAGTGGGCGGCAACTTGAGACCTCGCTTTGCCTGCCAACCAGGTGTAATACCCAACTCGGGGGCTTGAGGATCGAATGAGGTGCTCCACCCAGGGCACAGCGTCACTAAGCGGGAGCTTTGATTATCCAGGACTGATGGATGGAGGAGGGTGCAGGAAGAGGAGCCTGGGATGACGCGCCGGGGAAAGGACGGAACTCCGGAGAGCACCATTTTCAGGGAGGAAGATAAGCTGTTTATTTGGGCACGTTCGGTGGAGAGCTGTCTAGGAAGCAGCCACCGGGGCCCCAGGGCAGAGGCCTTCCAGGCTGGCTGGAGCCACTTCCGGGTCCCATGTCCCTGGTTTTCCATCATCCACACCAATCACTCCATGTTGCTGTGCTCCTTCACCAGAAGACCCTGGGATCATAAAGGGCAGGCCAGCCCAGCCCAGCCCTCACTCATCAGTCTCCCCAGCCCAGCACAGGGCAGCAGGCAGGGGCTGAGCATGCTGGGGTAGGCGGGTGTGATCAAACAGCTTGGAAAGAGTTTGGCCTGCTCATCGCATTCGCCTCTCGGCTCGTCCTGGGGATGTCTGCTGGGAGAGTGGCAGAGGGATCCCCAACATCCACTCCTGATACACCTCCCGGTATCATGTCAGCACATAGTAGGTGTGGCCTATCTACGGCAAAGTCATTTCTACCTTCCCCCAGTAGGATATGCCGTAGTTTGGATGTTTGTCCCCTCCAAATCTCATGTTGAAACGCGATCCCAGTGTTGGAAGTGGGGCTTGTGGGAAGTCATTGATCAGGAGGGCAGATCCCTCATGCATGGCTTAGCACCATCCCCTTGGTGACGAATGAGTTCTTGTTAGTTCACATAGATCTGGTTATTTCAGTTAAGAGTCTGAGGCCTCCCCTTCTCTCTCTCACTCCTGCTCTGTGATACACTGGCTCCCCAACACCTTCTGTCTTAAGCTTCCTGAGGTTGCACCAGAAGCAGATGCCTGCAACATGCTTCCTGAAAAGCCGGGGGAACTGTGAGGCAATTAAACCTCTTTATAAACAACCTAGCCTCAGGTATTTCTTCAGAGTAATGCAAGCAGGCTTCATACAGAGTTCAGCTCCATTTAGGTATGCATTCATTCACCAGCTTCCACTGACAGCTACTCAGTGCAGGCCGTTTGCCGGGTGATGCTGAGGACAGATGCTGCTGTCTCTGACCTGGGGAGGCCACGGCAAGGGTGCAGTAGCAAGGGCAGGTGCCAAGGGCTGAGGGGCACAGAGGCAACACCCTCGCCAGCCTGCAGCGGGAGTTGGGGGGTAGAAGGCTTCCTGGAGGAGGAACCAGGGTTCCCAATTACACAGCCGAGTCACATCTTGCTCAGAACCAGGAGAGGGGAGGGACTTAGGATGTCCCTTAGGACGTATCCCTAGCTCCTGACTAGATGCCCCACCTACTTAAAGTTTTCCTTCTTGAGACAGTCTTGCTCTATCACCCAGGCTGGACTGCATTGGCTCGATCTTGGCTCACTGCAACTGCTGCCTCCCAGGTTCAAGTGATTCTCCTGCCTCAGCCTCCTGAGTAGCTGGGATTACAGATACACACCACCACGCCTGGTGAATTTTTGTATATTTAGTAGAGATGGGGTGTCACCATGTTGGCCAGGCTGGTCTCGAACTCCTGACCTCAGGGGACCCACCCGCCTCAGCCTCCCAAAGTGTGTTACAGGCCTGAGCTGCCGCGTCCCACCTACCTCTTCAAGGAGAAGCTGTCTCCCCAGGACCCAACCCCAGGCCTGGAGCATAGATGCTCAAAGACTTAGAGGAACCGATTAATTCATTTTAATCCCTGAATTAATCCTGGGCTCCAGCAAACTGTGGGCAATCAATAGATTTGGAGGTTTCCTCTCCCTTCTAGGAAGTCTGCCTGCTTCCTGCCCTGATGAATCCCTCCCTAAGTTCAGTACAAACTGAAGGAACTTGAAAAACATCTGTGCACGGGGACCACTCCACAGAAAGGCTGAAAGCAGACAACTGAGTTGGCAGCACATTCAGGAGGGCGCTCAGTGGGGAAGCAGGAGCCGTTCCAAGCTTGTCACAGCCACACATCACAGCATTTTGGGTGCCGCCACAACAGAGCAGCCCCGAGCTCAACCTTCGCACTTCAGAAGTGTGTTTATGATTAAAACAGTGGACATGAAGCCCTCCAATGATGTGCAGTTTAAAGAGAAACCGGTCCAAGCAGTAACACAGTCCCCGCCAGGGGCCCGAAGACTCGCCCCAGAGACAGAGGACCCCATGTGCACGTTCATCCGCAAGGAGGGCTTGCAGCAGCAGGGGGCTGAGGCCAAAGGCAGCAGGCGGGCCACTAGGTCCCCTACCCTTGGTACCCTCACCTGAAACATGGGACAGCAACACAGCGAGACGACAGAACCTGTCTAGAATATATGGAAAAGTAAATGAAAAGGTCCATCCCAAGGGTAGCCTGGTGGGGAGGGGGACAGATGGTGGGGGGAAGCTGCCTCGGGAAGACTCGTCCCAGCAGAATCAGCCCCCACCCCTGCCCTGAACCACCAGGCAGTAGACACATTCCCCCGGGGAAATAGAATTTGTAAGGCAGGTGGAGAGAGCAGCACCTACACTGGCTGTGACTGCTAAAAAGACATGCTGGCCCTTCTCGAGGACTGCAAGAAGATTCAGTATCACATTTAAAATTAACCTTTGACCCCTTTCCTGTAAAACTAAAGATCACCCTCTAACAGCCCTAACAAACAGACTCTGGCCGTCTCCCCTCCCTAAGCCGATGGAGCAGCTAACTGGATGCCAGCGAGGCCATTGCTGAGGTTCTGCAGGGTGGAGGCGGCCAGGCTGGCTCGCTACATGAGGTGGACGGAAGTCGCCTTGCGGATGAGCCGCTCGGTCAGAGGTGAGTTGGGCTTCAAGGCATCACGCTCCATCAGAAGGCTCCTGCAGAAACAGATGCAGAGGTTCTGTTACAGAACCTTCTAGAGGGATGTGGGGCCTGGTGGTCCCTTGGTCCCAAGGCAGAACACAGGCAGGCTGGGTTGCTGCACTGAGGGAATAGCAAGGCCAAGGCCCAGGGGCAGGAGGCCTGGCCTCAGTTTGGGGAGAGGTGAGGATGGGAGGACATGGACCTCCAGAGCAGGAAGCCACTCCAACGAGGGGGCAGAACAAGTGTGAAGGGGAAAACCCAAGTTTGAACAAAGGAAGCCCAGATATGGTTTGAGGTAAAGACCCAGCTGTGGACTGAATGTCTGTGTCCAGGCTAAATGTATACGTTGAAGCCCAAATGCCCAAGGTAATGGTATTGAGAGCAGGGCCTCTTGGACGTGATTAAGTCATGAGGGTGGGGCCCTCCTGAATGGGATTAGTGCCCTTATAAGAAGAGATGGGTGTGGTGGCTCATGTAATCCCAGCACTGTGAGGGGCTGAAGCAGGAGGAACCCTTGAGCCCAGGAGTTTGAGTTTAGTAAACTGTGATCACACCACTGCATTCCAACCTGGGTGACAGAGACCTTGACTCTAAAAATGTTAAAAAATTAAAAAAGAAGAGACCTGAAAGAACTAGCACTCAAAAGAAAGGTCATGTGAGGACACAGCAAGAGCAGCTGTCCACAAGCCAGGAAGAGAGGCCTCACCAGAAACTGAGCCTGCCAGGCCTCTGTCCTGGCCATTTCGGCCTCCAGAACCGTGAGACAAGGCATGCCAACTGTGCAAGCCACCCAGTCTATGGCACTTTTTTTGAGATGGAGTCTTGCTGTCGCCCAGGCTGGAGTTCAATGGTGTGATCTCAGCTCACTGCAACCTGCACCTCCCAGGTTCAAACAACTCTCCGGCCTCAGCCTCCTGATTAGCTGGGATTACAGGTACCCACCACCACGCCCAGCTAATTTTTTGTATTTTTTAATAGAGACGGGGTTTCAGCATGTTGGCCAGGCTGGTCTTGAACTCCTGACCTTAGGCGATTCACCTGCCTCGGCCTCCCAAAGTGCTGGGATTACAGGCATGAGCCACCATGCCCGGCCCATCTGTGGCACTTTTTAAATAGCCCTAAGACAGCCCCCACACACCTGACAACCGTGGTTCTGTAGGGCGTCAGTGGTGTGTAGGGACTGGGGCCTGGCACTCAATGTGGGGGCTCGAAGATCCCTTCTCAAGACTGGCGTGGAGGGTTTCCCACCTTGGGGGCTGATGAGCTATGCTGATGGCCCCAGGGATGCTGCCTAGTGGCAGGATGGGACTTGGAGAGAAGACATCCCCAACACCTCCCACCACAGTCAGCTCCCTGTGCAGCCTGCTGTCCCTCCCATCCTCCCCCACGGTACCACAGGGGGGCCCATCAGCACGGCCGCACTGCCCCCCAGATGCTCACCCCAGCTCCACCCTCAGCCCTCCTGTCCACACAGCCACTTTCCCACTGCTGCTGCCAGAGGCGCCACCTCCCAGCCACACTGCAGCCTGGAGCTCCCCAAGGGGCTTGACCAGTAACACACATGCATGGTTTTGTCTATGGCCATGGAAGGGCAGAGCGGGCAGCATGTGTCCAAGACGTTTTCCAGTTTCAGGCAGTTCAAGGGCTGTAAGCCAGACCCATTTCGCCAGCACCACGGAGGCTGCACGGCTCACTGTGGGAGCCCCGCCTGGGGGAGCTGCGCTGCTGCACCTGTGCCTAAGCCACTGGGCTTGTCACCAGCCAAGGGCCGCCTGTGGCCCCAGGCTGCCACCTGCTCTCACAGCACACCCTCCCCACCAGGCACCCACGGCCCCTCTATTCTTCCTTTCCCCTGTGTCTGAGGGTCCCGGGGGACCTGGGCAAGGAGAAGTGTCACAGTCTCCCCTCAGGTGCACAGGGGCTATGCAGCTGCTGGCTGAGAGCTCAGCTGCCTGACTGGAGGGAGGCACGCCGGGCCACGGAAGTATCAGGGCTGCTGGCAATGGGGGGGACTCCTGAGGGTTCCCCCGGCACTCTCACCAGGTAGCTATGCCACCACCCTCCTGACACACCCACCTTCCAGCTATGCCACCCTCCTGACACACCCTCCAGCTATGCCACCCTCCTGACACACCCTCCAGCTATGCCACCCTCCTGACACACCCTCCAGCTATACTACCCTCCTGACACACCCTCCAGCTATACCATCTGCCTGACACACCCACCCTCCAGCTATGCCACCCTCCTGACACACCCTCCAGCTATACCATCTGCCTGACACACCCACCCTCCAGCTATGCCACCCTCCTGACACACCCACCAGCTATGCCACCCTCCTGACACACCCACCTTCCAGCTATGCCACCCTCCTGACACACCCACCCTCCAGCTATGCCACCCTCCTGACACACCCTCCAGCTATACCATCTGCCTGACACACCCACCCTCCAGCTATGCCACCCTCCTGACACACCCTCCAGCTATGCCATCTGCCTGACACACCCACCCTCCAGCTATGCCACCCTCCTGACACACCCACCCTCCAGCTATGCCACCCTCCTGACACACCCACCCTCCAGCTATGCCACCCTCCTGACACACTTACCCTCCAGCTATGCCACCCTCCTGACACACCCACCCTCCAGCTATGCCACCCTCCTGACACACCCAGCCTCCAGCTATGCCATCTGCCTGACACACCCACCCTCCAGCTATGCTACCCTCCTGACACACCCACCCTCCAGCTATGCCATCTGCCTGACACACCCACCCTCCAGCTATGCCACCCTCCTGACACACTTACCCTCCAGCTATGCCACCCTGACACACCCACCCTCCAGCTATGCCACCCTGACACACCCACCCTCCTGACACACTTACCCTCCAGCTATGCCACCCTGACACACCCACCCTCCAGCTATGCCACCCTGACACACCCACCCTCCAGCTATGCCACCCTCCTGACACACTTACCCTCCAGCTATGCCACCCTGACACACCCACCCTCCAGCTATGCCACCCTCCTGACACACCCACCCTCCAGCTATGCCACCCTCCTGACACACTTACCCTCCAGCTATGCCACCCTCCTGACACACCCTCCAGCTATGCCACCCTCCTGACACACCCTCCGGCTATGCCACCCTCCTGACACACCCACCCTCCAGCTATGCCACCCTCCTGACACACCCACCCTCCAGCTATGCCACCCTCTTGACACACCCACCCTCCAGTTATGCCACCCTCCTGACACACCCACCCTCCAGCTATGCCACCCTCCTGACACACCCACCCTCCAGCTATGCCACCCTCCTCCGAGCCCCTGGCTAAACCCACTGGGCTTTCAGGTGTGCCCTCAGCTGCCACTCCCTCAGTGCACATTTACCTGTGTCTGGGTCTGACCGCTCCCTGTCGCTCACCCCACTACAGATGCGCTCCCGGTAGGTAGTGCCTGCTGTGCCTGCTCACTGCTGCCTCTTGGCACCCAGGCAGGCAGGAGAAATGAGCTGAGGTCTAACTGAGCATTAGGTAAAGGGTGTTCCAAGTGGTGGGCATGCACATGCAAAGGCCCAGGGGCCTAAAAAAGCAGGACGTATTTGTGTAACTGGGTAGCTTGGCATGGCTGAAAGGGAGCGGGCTGGGGAGGGTGGAGGTTGGGCCTGGCTCCCCTTGGTCAGGTTGAGCCCGCTAACAAAGGAGACCCAAATTCCCCACAGCCTTCCGACTTCACAGCCTCAGAAGCAGGAGCATCTCAGGCTGAGGGCGGCGGGGCCTCCAGGCGCTCCCGAGGTCTGTTGGAGGGGCCACGAGCTCACCTGGCCACGTTCTTATGGACAGTGGAGGTGCAGTTTAAGGCGGCGTGAATCAGCAGCTGGTTGAAGACATCTCTCTGAAATGTCAATTGGGCATGTGAGACTCCTGTAACTCAGGAAGGGGGAGGTGAGCTTCTGCCCGTCGTGGGTTGCCTGCTCTCCAGGGGGACAGGGGGGTTGCTGCCACACCCTTGATGACAAACTTATAGCATGGGAGCATAAGAGACACAATCACACTCAGATTGTGGGCACCAACACTACGGGAGAAACTTGGGGGCTGCTGGCACCCAGACTCCCTGGCTCAGGCCCTGGGCACCCTGGCTGGCAGGTGTTGGCTCACCTGGGCATTGCTGCCACCGAGCTGGACGATCCGGTAGCGGATGGGCAGGAGCAGCTCCAGGACGCGGTCAGAATTCCCAGCCTCAGCCTCCACCAGGGCCTGGCACAGGGGCAGCCCCACATCTCGGGCCAGGAGGTGCTGGCAGTTCTCCCCTGGGGATCTGCAACCCGAGACAGCGCCCTCAGCTGCCTGCCCACCACAGAACACCCGGGAGGGGCAGGGCCATTTCTTCCTCAACGAGGTGTCCCCGGCCAGGTGGGGCAGCCCATCGAGGGGATGGGACAGGGTTGTTAAAGGTTATTAAACAAAGCCTCTGGCTGCTTTGAGCTCACACCTAGGCTGGAGTTCGCCCGTTTCCAGCTACCTGGTCCTCCACCTTCTGGCTGCTCTGAGCTCACACCTAGGTTGGAGTTCGCCCGTTTCCAGCTACCTGGTCCTCCACCTTCCGGCTGCTCTGAGCTCACACCTAGGTTGGAGTTCACCCGTTTCCAGCTACCTTTTGGCCTCACTTGGCTCATCTGTGAAGCAGGCATAACAATGCCAGTCTAGGCCAGGTGAGGTGGCTCACACCTGTAAGCCCAGCACTTTGGGAGGTCGGGGCGGGCGGATCACAAGGTCAGATCGAGACCATCCTGGCTAACACAGTGAAAGTCTGTCTCTATTAAAAACACAAAAAATTAGCAGGGCACGGTGGCATGCGCCTGTAGTCTCAGCTACTTGGGAGGCTGAGGCAGGAGAATTGCTTGAACCCAAGAGGCTGAGGTTGCAGTGAGCTGAGATCACGCCACTGCACTACAGCCTGTATGACAGGGCAAGACTCTGTCTCAGAAAAAAAAAAAAATGCCAGTCTAACAGAACTGTCCGGATTGCTGACAATAAAGGCAAAAGCCTGGCACCGCAACTCAAGGTGATCACCACCCCGGGAAGGGAAGAAGCCTGGCACCGCGACTCAAGGTGATCACCACCCCGGGAAGGGAAGAAGCCTGGCACCGCAACTCAAGGTGATCACCACCCCGGGAAGGGAAGAAGCCTGGCACCGCGACTCAAGGTGATCACCACCCCGGGAAGGGAAGAAGCCTGGCACCGCGACTCAAGGTGATCACCACCCCGGGAAGGGAAGAAGCCTGGCACCGCGACTCAAGGTGATCACCACCCCGGGAAGGGAATCAGCAAGGCAGCCTCGGTCTCCCAGGCCAGCCCTCCCCAGCCCTTAGCAGGCACCATCCCTGATTTAGATGGGGAAACTGAGGCTCAGAGCAGAGAAGCACCTCGTCCAGGACCTCACGGCTTGCCAGCAGCAGCTGTCTCTGGTTTCAGGGCTTCGCCGTGTCCTCTCCACAGGAGGCAGCCCTGTGACCCTGAGGACCTCTACCCATGCTGGGGAGGGAGGCAGCTGTGTGTTCTGGGGCAACCAGTTGTACAGCTGTGGGCCACACACCTGCGGGTGCACATGCCTCGGGGATCCACACTGGGGACGCACATCTACAGGGTACACACCTGGGAGCAGCCTCCATGGGCATCCCCTGAGCTGCACTCACAGGTGGGGCAGGCACTGAGCAGGGCTCAGCATGGCCCTAACACCCGGTCACCCTCTCAGCAGGGTGGGGACCCCCACCCCAAGAAGGTCCCCTCTGTATACTCGCTGGCATCCTGCAGGGTGGTCAGCAGCTCCTGTGTGGTCTGGGGGTCGTGTGCACCCAGGGACGCCATCAGGAAGTGTGCATCGTTGAACAGCAGGACGTGGTCTCGGCTGTGCTTCTGGGTCACTGGCAGGACATCCTGCCACCGCTGGCCCAAAGACACCCCTGAGGACATGGGGAGGAGACCCAGGGCCTGGTGTGAGGCTCTGGGCCATGTCCGGTACATGGGCCTTCTTCACAGCGTTTCCCTTGGAGGCCCTGATGACCCTGTCCCAGGTGAGAGGGTGGGTAGGTGGGCAGGGCCATGGGCAGCATCTGGCCTTGTGCACAGGCCTGTGTTAGGACTTGTCTAATTGTAGAGGTCACAGATGCATAAGTAGGAAGCACATTTTTAAAAGTGTCAAAGGTTATTAAACAAAGCCTCTGGCTGCTTTGACAAACCCCAAGCATCTTGGATCCTCCAGCTTCCCAGTGGATCCCTGGCCTTCCCACAGATCCCCCGGCCTCCCTGTGATCCACAAACCTCTCCACGGATCCCCCAACGTCCCCACAGATTTCCTGGCCTCCCCACACATCTTCTGGCCTCCCCGATGATCCCCCGACCTCCCCACGGCCCCCCCAGCCTCCCCAAGGCCCCCCCAGCCTCCCCAAGGCTGCCCCAGCCTCCCCATGGCTCCCCTGGCATCCCCAAGGCTGCCCCAGCCACCCCATAGCTCCCCCGACCTCCCCACACATTCCATGGCCTCCCCAAGGCTCCCCCAGCCTCCCCACACATCCCTGGTCTCCCCACAGATCCCCCCACTTCCCCACAGATCCTTCAACCTCCCCATGCTCCCCTGGTCTCCCCACACATCCCCTGGCCTCCTCACTTTTCTCTGGGTCTCCAGCCTCAGCCTGCTCTTCTCACAGGTGGGCTCCCTGGCTCCTACACCCCTCAGCCTGCTCTTGCCCCATCTGGCCACATCAAGCCCTGTGGCCACTCATCCTGCAGCAAGCTGCTGGCTTCTATGTCCTGGTGGCTTTGGATGGGCTGCTCTCTCTGAACGTAACTCTTGCCTTGTCTCTACCTAGCAAACCTCACACAGACTTCTGCGGCTCACATTTCACCTCCATTAGGAAGTCTTGCAGAATCTCTAGGAAGAGCCTGCCATACCCTCCCTCAGGTCCCCGAATTGCTCAGCCTAGGCCTGCAACCCCACTGTACTTGACCTAGGGCCTAGCCCAGGCCCCTGTGGTTCCAGGATGGCTGTGCTGAGCCTGAGGTACCCCAGGGGTTGGCTGGAGCCCTTGATAGTCCCCAGAGCTGTGGCTGATCCCTCCAGGCTACCTGCAGAGCAGAACAAGGCTGAGAAACCTGCCTACAGTCCCAGGGAGTTGAGAAACTCTCCCGTGTTCTAGAAAGGAGGTGGCATCAAGACAGGTGGCCAGGTGCCACCAGTGCCCCAAAGGCTTGGCAGGCCAGCCATGGGAACAGCACAGCAGGTGCCACCCTGGGTGCAGAGCTGGAGGCTTCCACACCAAGGAGTGGTGGGAACTGGAAGAAAGAGGAGTGTGGCCTGGGCACAGGCCCACTCAGAGCCTAGAGCAGCTCACCCATGAGCTCCTACCCAGCCCCAGGCCCAGGCCACAGCACCCTCTCCTCATGATGTGGGAGGAAGAGGCAGGAGCCAGCGGGGCTGCGGGGGTTGCTACCTTCCATCTGCAGGCGGTAGAGCATGGAGCAGCTGTCCACCACGTCCAGCATTGCACCGCTGGCCTGCAGGCTGGGAAGGATCTGGAAGACAGGGCAGCCACGGCGGGCTCAGCAGGTGGGCTGGATGAGGGGTCTGCAGGGCCAGCTGGGGGTCAGCCTATCCGGGTGGGGTGGGCCTGCATAGAGCAAGCACTCTGCCACTGTCCCCACCACCTCAACTAACAGGACCATCACCTTCGACTGGGGTGGGAACTGCTCCAAGCACTAGAGGGGTCACCAAGCAGACCTGAGGGAGCCCACTGCATTGCAGGCCCAGGCATCTGCCCCCTCCCACCCCCAGGCCTCAGACCACACTGGTAGGAGTGTTGTCTACCCGATCACGTTTCTAGACTCAGCTTTGTGAGCGGGCCACCTCGAGCTCATGGTGTATTATGTCACCCTTCATTTCTTTTTTTTGGGATGGAGTCTCCCTTTGTCGCCCAGGCTAGAGTGCAGTGGCGTGATCTTGGCTCACTGCAACCTCCACCTCCCAGGTTCAAGCGATTCTCCCGCCTCAGCCTCCCAAGTAGCTGGGAAGATGACAGGCGCCCACCACCATGCCCGGCTAATTTTTGTATTTGTAGTAGAGACGGAGTTTTACCATGTTGGCCAGGCTGGTCTCGAACTCCTGACCTCAGGTGAGCCACCCACTTCGGCCTCCCAAAGTGCTGGGATTACAGGGGTGAGACGCCTCACCCAGTCCACCCTTCCTTTCTTCCTACAACTTCCTAATTACGTAGAAAGGGTTCCTTCAAGGGAAATGTTCTATGTGTTTTGCTCTGGTGTTTAGGTCCCCAGATCACAAGCATTTCTATGGACCCTGGCTTTTATGATGAAGCCATCACAGGGTCCCTGGGAGCTGTGAGTCAGGCTCTTTTATTCTCCTCTCAAAAGAATGCCTGGGCCTGGGGAGGAGGAATGGGGAGTTAGTGTTTAACGGACACAGAGTTTCAGTTTGGGAAGATGAAGAATGTTCTGGAAATGGAGAGTGGTGATGGTTACACAGTGTGAATGTGCTTAATGCCACAGAACTATACACTTAATTTTTTTTTTTTGGAGACAGGGTCTCACTCTTCACCCCCGGCTGGAATGCAGTGGCACGACCTTGGTTCACCGCCTCCTGGGGTTCAAGCAATTCTTATGCCTCAGCCTCCTGAGTAGCTGGGATGACAGGCGCCTGCCACCACGCCTGGCTCATTTTTTTATATTTTTAGTGGAGACAGGGTTTTGCCATGTTGGCCAGGCTGGTCTTGAACTCCTGACCTCAAATGATCCACCTGCCTTGGCCTCCCAAAGTGCTAGGATTATAGGCGTGAACAACCACACCCGGCCTTGTACACTTAATTTTATGTTATTTATATTTTATCATGGTAAAGTAAAAACATTCCAACGGTTAGGCCAGTTGTCTTACCAAAGAAAAGTGGTAGGAAGGGGCTGGAGAAAAGTCCACGATCGCAGACCAGGCCCTCAGACGTGTGAATCTACTGACACCCTTGGGGTGAGCAGAGCCAGCCACTGTCGCCATCACAGCCAGGGTTACGACACTGCCCCTGGCAGAATTAACCCCATGAGACCTTACACGAGAAACGTGTTCTTGCACCTCCTGTTTTTTTTTCTGGCTGGGATAACCCGATGAACTCAAAGACCTGGTCCGTTTGAGAGTAAAAGGCAAAAAACGCTGCAACAAACCGCACGGGGCGTGAACGCAACTTACGTGGGTGTCGTACATGGTCAGCGCGGCCTCATGTTCGCCCTGGAAGAATACAGTTCTCCTGATTAAGCTCTGCAGAAGGCGAAGTGTGATGCTGAAACAGACAGGCCAGAGCCCCCGAAGCATGGCCTGCAGCCTCCACCTCCTCTCACAGGGGGACGGGTGCTGCCTCGGCGTCATCGGGGCGGGAGAAGGCGAACCCACTTCCAACCGGGCCTCTGGTTCCCAGCCCAGGAAGGATGGCGGCGCCCTGTACTGCCGCCACGGAAGAAGCAGTGGCTGTGGAGGCATCCTCTCTCCGAGCGGAAGAGGTGATACAGGTATTGCTCATACTAACTGCTGCAAGCTGTTTCATGTATTTCTTTCTAGGCTTTTTATTCTTTTTTTTTTTTTTTGAGATGGGTTTTCCCTCTGTCACTCAGGCTGGAGTGCAACAGCACAGTCTCAGCTCACTGTAACCTCTGCCTCCTGGGTTCAAGCAATTCTCGTGCCTCAGCCTCAGGACTACCGGATACACCACCACACCTGGCTAATTTTTGTATTTTTAGTAGAGACGGGGTTTCACCATGTTGCCCAGGCTGGTCTCAAACTCCTGACCTCAGGTGATCTGCCCGCGTTGGCCTCCCAAAGTGCTGGGATTGCAGGCGTGAGCCACCGCACCAGCCCACCTTTTTCTTTTCTGCATATGTTTCCTCTCCTGTACCTTCAGCTGGGTTCTGTGCTGTCTTCCAGACAGTGTATCGTCACATTCTTATGTCACGACAGGGCCCTCATGTTCTGAGCACGTCTTGCTTTTTGGACATTCAGGGAGCTTCTAGCTTTGGTCCATGATAAAGAGCAGTGCAAGAGACAGCCTCCTACAGGGAACCCTGTGGTGGAAGCCCTGGGGTCAAGGGTGTCCCAAGCAGCTGCCCCACGGCCTGGCTTCTGCTGGAAGATCTCATGGCCCAGGCAGGTACGCCCGGCAGGGTGGGGGCTTGGCTCTCCACTCCAGCCACAGAGAGGCACTCAGTGGGAATGGTCTCCACTAGTTATACACCACAGATGTGATTTCCAGGCTTCGACTGTGAAAAACCCCTAAAGTAACTCAAGCCGGGACTGCTCTTTGGAAACAGGGATGCTGCATCGCATCAGGTCACCTGAAACGTGCAAACACAACAGACCCGCCCCTGGGATGGGAATTCATAGCAACAGCTAGAAAAGTCTTTCTCCCTCTGGACGTCTTCATGGGGTAGGGCAGTGCAAACGGATGCTCTCCTCACCTTTTCAATCAGGTATAAAGCCCAGTGCCAATAGTTATGACACGCCAACATATCCGAGTCCTGGAGGAAAAACCGAGAATGTATGAAGTCTGCAGGCCCGTGGGAAAAAAACAAATGCTGTCTTGTGCTAGTGCAGAAACCATCATCTTTTTTGTGAGACAGAGTCTGGCTCTGTCGCCCAGGCTGGAGTGAAGTGGCGTGACCTCAGCTCACTGCAACCTCCACCTCCCAGGTTCAAACGATTCTCCGTCTCAGCCTCCCGAGTAGCTGGAATTACAAGAGTGCACCACCACACCTAATTTTTTTTTTTTTTTTCAGACAAAGTTTCGCTCTTGTTGCCCAGGCTGGAGTGCAATCTCGGCTCATGGCAACCTCTGCCTCCTGGGTGCAAGTGATTCTCCTGCCTCAGCCTCCCAAGTAGCTGGGATTATAGGCACACACCACCAGGCCTGGCTGATTTTGTATTTTTAGTAGATACAGGGTTTCTCCACGTTGGTCAGGCTGGTCTCTAACTCCCGACCTCAGGTGATCCACCTGCCTTAGCCTCCCAAAGTGCTGGGATTATAGGCATGAGCCACTGTGCCTGGCCCTACCTGGCTAATTTTTCTATCTTTGGTAGAGATGGGGTTTCACCATGTTGGCCAGCCTGGTCTTGAACCCCTGACCTCAGGTGATCCGCTCACCTCAGCCGCCCAAAGTTCTGGGATGACAGGTGTGAGCCACAGTGCCTGGCTACAGAAACCATCATTTTTGAGTGCCAGAGACAATATTTTCTGCCTGTGCTGGGCATCTCCACGCCACATACTTACCTTCTACTCCGAAGGGCGATGACTATTATGCCTGCATTTACCAAGGAGGAAACTGAGGCTGGGGAGCTTCACAGCCTGCTTGCTCAAGCTAGGGAGCAGCAGCCCCAGGACCAGCACAGAGGAAGTGACTTCAGCAACTCCAGCTTCACCTTCCTCACGCGTGAAGTTGATAAATGGAATCACAGCCACTTCACAGAGAGATGCGAGGCCCATGGGTGCCCAGACAGCTCAGGGCACGTAGATAAAAGTGAGGATCAGCGAAGCACAGCGGCTCACGCCTGTAATCCCAGCACTTTGGGAGGCTGAGGCAGAAGGATCACTTGAGCCCAAGAGTCCAAGACCCACCTTATGACACCTGGGCGACATAAGGAAGAGACCCTGTCTCTCTCTTAAAAAAAAAATTTAAAAATTAGCCAGGTGTGATGGCATGCACCAGTAGTCCCAGCTACTTGGGAGGCTGAGGTGGAAGGATTGCTTGAGCCCAGGAGGTCCAGGCTGCAGTGAGCCCTAATTGTGCCACTGCACTCCAGCTTGGGCAACAGAGCAAGAATGTGTCTCAAAAAAAAAACCTGTAGGGAATCAGCAGGCCCAGAACCACACTCCAGCAGGTACGGGCAAAGCCCCGAGAGCCAGGGAGCAGGTGGTATGCTGGTGGCTACGTTAGGCTGCCCTCAGTATGGAGGAAGAGAGTTACAGTAGGACCTGTGCTGGGCTTGGAGTTGGCCCCTGCTTGGATATTCCAAGCTTGGGAAACTGGCCTCACGATCCTCAGCAAGTGACAGCGCCCAGCACTCAGGAACCTCAAACAAACCTCAGTCCCTGAGGAGGGAACCTGACAGCACCGCCTTGACAGGGCCGAATCTGGAGGCCCGACGGTTCCCCCAGCACCTGCTTGGGAGTCAAGTACACACTCTCCCCTGATACAAAGCAGCCTCAGTGGAGTCCCTAGGGCAAGGTACAGGCCTGGGGTGTGGACTAGAATCCTGACTGCACTCCGCTCAGCAGCCAAACACTTGAGGCAGGTGCAAGAGGAGGAGGAGAAGGAACCCCAACAATTAAGCCACATTGTAACTCCTCCTGTTCATAAAGCCTCAGCCTAACTCAAGGGGACGCACTGAATTTCCCAGGGAGGTAACAGACCCAGTGACAAGCGTCGTACCTTCCACTGGGCCTCTGAGTGCTGCATGAATTCCAGCCCATCCTTGATCTCTGCTTTCATCTCATGGATGTGAGCGATGGTGTGCACCGACCACGCGTCTGTCGGGTTCACGGATAAAGCCTATGCGGGGTGCAGGGAAGAGGATTCCAGATAAAGTGGATCAGTCAGGCTGCCGGGGCTGGTCTCTAAGGGGCAAGAGGGGCCCGGGCTGAACAGGGTGGAGCAAGCATGGGGATGGGATTCTGACTCAAGACACTGGCCATCAGCACCATTTCCCGCCTGCCTAAGCACACCAGCTCACGGGTTTCACTGCCTGGCTCACAGATGAGGAAGCTGAGACTTCAGGAGACTAAGCGACTTGCCTGGGGTCACCCAGCTGGACAGCAACAGGGTCTTTCCAAAGCCAAGGTTCATCCCTAAGCCCACAGCCTTCTGCGTACAGGTGAGGCACCTGCAAACATGCCTGCCCTCTCTGGGCCTCAGTTACTGCCAGAAAGGCCACGGATGCTGCCTTCCTCTTAGAGAAACGGTTACCGTCCCTGTGCATGCGGTGTGAACTGCCAAGTGCTCCAGCGGCCGTGGCTGCCTCTTCCCACTACCACACATGTGAGGACACGTGGCTTTCTGGGTGCAGAAACAACTGGCTTTGAGGTTATCGCAGTTCATGACAAAAGCCGCTCCCACGACCTGTGAGCTTGACAGTAACCAGCGAGGCACGCAGGACTCATGGAATGATCCTCCCCTCCTAGCTCTTCTTCTATTTATGTGTCTAGCTCATGTTTGCTAAGCATCTACTAAGCGCCAGGTGGAGCTTAGAAAATGGAGCAGTAGGCTCACGTCTGTAATCCCAGTACTTCAGGAGGCCGAGGAGGGTGGATTACCTGAGGTCAGGAGTTCGAGACCAGCCTGGCCAACATGGTGAAACCCCGTCTCTACTAAAAATACAAAATTAGTCAGGCATGGTGGCAGGTGCCTATAATCCCAGCTACTTGGAAGGTTGAGGCAGGAGAATTGCCTGAACCCAGGAGATGGAGGTTGCAGTGAGCCAAGATCATGCCATTGCACTCAAGCCTGGGTGACAAGAGCCAAACTTTGTCTCTAAAAAACAAAAAAGAAAATGCAGCAGTAAACTGAGGCTCACAGAGGTCCCATTGCCTGGCCTGTGCCCAGGTCCCCCATGCCAAATAATGAGTTCCCGCCAGCCCACTGCCTCAGTCTCCCCATGCCTTTCACAGGTGTCCAGCGGCCTCAAGCTCCCGTGCCCTGGCCCAGCACCTGCTGTGAGGCTTTTGGCAGGAGGTCGACCCCAGCCAAAAAAAGGGGCTGCTCTGCCCACCCCTCAGCTTTCCTGGGCCTGGCCCCCTCCATGTAGGAACACAGAGGGGAAGACAGTATGTCTGCAGGGAACCGTGGACACCCCTGGGGCAGGGCCCTGAGTACAGGACACTTGGGCATAGTCTAAGCAGGCTGGAGGTGGGGCTCTGAGATGGGACCCTGCTAAGCGTGCTGCTTTCATGAACGGCGGGAGTGAAGGGTGGTGGCTGTCACCAGCTCTGATGGGCTGACCAGCTTCCTCCCTCTCTTGGAGCCCTCCCACGGTTCCCTGGGAAAGAGTCCAAACTGCATTCCCAGGCTCAAGGCCCAGTACAATCCAGTCCTCGCCTGCCCCTCTACAGCCCTGGCTCCTGGCCTGCGGCTTCCTCCCAAAGCCTCCACCCATCGAGCTGCTTGGAGCTCCAGGACCCCAAGCTCCATGGCTGTGCCTGTGCCCACTGCCTGCCTGCTCCTGCCCTGGCTCCTCCTGCCCTCACCAGCCTGAGGCTACAGACACATGGCCCATGTGTTCCCACCCCTGGCCGTGTTGCAGCCGCTTTTCCTGCCCAGTACTTGTCTGTGGGGTGCTGGGGTTGGAGTTGAAGAGTTGGCGCCTGCCAGACAAAGGACGGGGGGCGAGAGCGGAGCAGTGGAGCAGGGTGGGGACCCCATCCACCGCTTCTTGCTCCTTGCAAGGCGTGAGCTTGCATGTATTGTTGCCCACCCTCAGTGGGGGGGCCTGCCACATCTGGTTTGCCACAGCTACCCTTGTCCAGAGCTTCTCCAACTGTCCCATGAGCTCTCAGGTGCCCAGATGGACACTGCCCACGGGAGGGCCCAGCTGCCATGTTCTCCAAGGAACATTCCTGCAGCTGATCCCTGAATGGTGGCGTCCGGTCACCCGGGCCATGAAGCCAAGACTGCCAGAAAGCCACTCAGGTCCCCACAAGCCCTGGCCAGAGTTAAAGCAAAGAATGCATCACCTGAGCCTCAAGTCTTGGATTGTGTAATCAGAGCAGTCTTCAGAGAGCCCAGCGACCCATGGGCCCCAAAGAGTGCTGTCTCCCGGGGAGGGTACTGAAAGCTGACTAGGGCAACTACTGAGGGAAGAAGCCCAGCCAGGACGTTGGGAGGCCTGCGCCTGGGCCAGGCAGCTGAAAGGACAGCCGTCGTCGGGTGACCTGGGTGGAATCCAGCTCTGCCATCTCTGAGGCATCTGGCCTTAGGCGGGCTCTAACCTTAGCCTCTCTCTGAGCCTCAGGCCCCTCATCTGGGCAACAAAGAGTTTAACATCATGTGGGCAGAGCTGTATGGATGTAGCAGACGTACATTCCGTGCCATGCAGAGCCCAGCACAGGAGCAGCTGGCACTCCCTTGTGTATGGCAGCCCCTCCATGGGCCTCAGTTTCCACTCCTGCAAGAGGAGTAGAGAGGGGCCCCCAGAGCATGAGACCACATGCACCCCATGCCTGACAGCCACTGCAGGCTGCCACCTGGCCCTGAGCCCAGGTTTGCATGGATGCCCAGCAACCACCATGATTGGCAATCACCACTCAGTTCCCTGAATGTCTAGCGCCATGGGTGACGCTTAGAAATGGTGAAGTTGAGGGAGGACCGACATGTGTTTATGGCTCTCCTCCTACAGTCCTACACCAGCAGGGCACAATGGGCTCAGAGCCAGGCAGAGCTGCTGCGAGCCCGGAGCTGCCACTCTTTGCAACCCCAAGTGAGTGGGCTGACCATGGGCTCCCCGCACCCCATCAATCTCATCTGTAGAAGTGGAACCAGTGTCAGACAAGGAACATGGCTCTGGGGATCTCGGGGGCCACAGGTGAACGACAGTCCCTGGCAGGCGGCAGCGGCTCACACTAACACGAGCTCCCCAGTCTCTCTGAGGAGTGAGGCCAGGGTGGGGCTCACGGGATCACACATGAATGGTGCCCCTCACATGCCCTGGTCCACCCAACGGCTGCTCCCTGAGGATCAGGCATCCTGGGAAGGGCCCACTTACCTCTCTGGCAAGTTTTTTTGCCTGATCGTAGAAGTTGGTTTCCATCAAGCCAAAAGAGTAGATACCTTTCACATAGCTAAAAACAGAAAAAAGATCTCAGAGTACAAAATGGACGGGTAGCAGGCTGAACTGTGCCCCTCCAAAGACACACTGAGGTCCTAACGCCCAGTACTGGGAATGTGACCTTTTATGGAAATACAGTCTTTAGTGAAGTTTAGAGGTCACATGGGATTAGGGTGGACTCTAATGCAATGACTGGGTCTATATAGAGGGGCCGTGTGAAGACACAGATGCAGAGGGAGAGCGGCAGGTAAAGACCAAGGCAGAGTGGCACAGCTTCGAACCAAGGGACTTCAGGGAGCTCCGTGCACCACCAGGCATTGGAAGAGGCAGGAAGGACCCGCCCCTGAGGCTTGGAGGGCGCTGGCCCTGCTGACACCCTGGATGGCATTCCTGGCCCTCAAAACTGTGAGTACCTGTCTGCTGCTCCGAGCCGCCCAGTGTGCAGCCCCTCACTACAGCAGCCGCAGGAGACTGGCACCCCCCGACCCTGTGCCAAGCTCTGTGCTTTTCAGCAATTCCATGCTTCTGACTGGTGAGGGGCAAGGTGAATGTTACCTCTGCAACATCATACCCAAACCCAGCACAGAAAGCGGGCCCGCTCCTCAGAGAGCATCCCTCCCACCTCCTAAGAATCAACACGGGTCTCCACTGAGAATAATAAAGGTTCTCTCCCTCCTGTCTGCCTGGTGATGTCCACCCAGAGGCATGACCCAGGGGCACCTCCCTGGGAGGCCTCCATGACCTGTGGGCTGTCCACAGCTCCTCCGTGGCTTCTGCAGTGCTGTACACAACCCCCTGCCCGGCCTGCACTGCACTCAGTGGACAGCTGGGTCCTCCTCAGACCCGGAGCTCCCACAGGATGGGCCGGAAGATACTGAATAATCACACACTTCCAGTCACTCTTGTGGGTTTTTTTGGTTGTCTGTCTGAGATGGAGTCTCGCTCTGTCGCCCAGGCTGGAGTGCAGTGGTGCGATCTCAGCTCACTGCAACCTCCACCTCCTGGGTTCAGGCACTCCTCCTGCCTCAGCCTCCCGAAGAACTGGGACTCCAGGTGCTCACCACCACATCCGGCTAATTTTGGTATTTTTAGTAGAGTCGAGGTTTCACCACATTGGCCACACTGGCCTCAAACTCCTGACCTCAGGTGAGCTACCTGCCTCTGCCTCCCAAAGTGCTGGGATTACAGGCGTGAGCCACCGTCTCAGCCCTCACTTCCAATCTCATCTGCAACTGGGCACCCGAGTGTCTGGGGCGCTCACATGTGAAAGGTGCTCCTTCCTGTCGTTTCTTGGGGTTAAGTGAAAACAAAGTAGGGCAAGGGGCTTCTGTTTGAGACTACGATTTGGCTTCTCTACTGTGCACGGAGACTGAGTCTAGCTTTTGTTACTCACTGAAGCAATGTCTTTTAGATTTTTTGAGACGGACTCTCACTCTGTCGCTTAGACTGGAGAGCGGCGGTGCTCACTGCAACCTCTGCCTCCCGGACTCAAGCGATTCTCCTGCTTCAGCCTCCCAAGCACCTGGGACTACAGGCAGGTGCCGCCAGGCCCAGCTCATTTTTGTACTTTTAGTAGAGACAGGGTTTCACCGTATTTGTCAGGCTGTTCTTGAACTCCTGACCTCATGATCCACCCGCCTCGACCTCCCAAAATGCTGGGATTACAGACTGAATGAATCACCGTGCCTGGCCCCGAAGCAATGTTCTTGAGTACTGGCTTGCAGACTTACCTTTAAAAAAAAAATCTATGTATTGAGTGTTTACCGGGGTCATTTAGTCCTCAGCATTTCAGCTACTGACTGTATGCTTACTGTGTGTTGGGTTCTTGTGATGGTTAATTTTTTATGTGCTGATTCGGCTGGACCATGGTGCCCAGTTGTTCTGTCAAACACCAGTCTAGATGTTGCTGTGAAAGTATTTTTATTTGTTTTATTATTATTATTTTGAGACGGAGTTTCGCTTTTGTTGGCCAGGCTGCAGTGCAATGGCACACTCTTGGCTCACTGCAACCTCCGCCTACCGGGTTCAGCCATCCAAGTAGCTGGGATTACAGACGCCCACCACCACACCTGGCTCATTTTTGTATTTTTAGTAGAGACGGGGTTTCACTATGTTGGTCAGGCTGGTCTCAAACTCCTGACCTCAGATGATCCACCTACCTTGGCCTTCCAAAGTGCTGGGATTACAGGCATGAACCACCACACCCAGCCTTTTTAAAAATTCTTTTAGAGTCTTGCTCTGCTGCCCAGGCTGGAGTACAGTGGCAATGATCACAGCTCACTGCAGCCTCAAACTTCTGGGCTTAAGGGATCCTCCCGCCACAGCCTCCTCAGTAGCTGTGCCTGGATAAATTTTTATTTATTTATCTATTTATTTATTTATTATTACTTTTGAGGCAGAGTTCCACTCTGTCACCCAGGCTGGAGTACAGTGGCGATATCTTGGCTTATTACAACCTCTGCCTTCCACGTTCAAGGGATTCTCCTGCCTCAGCCTCTCAAGTAGCTGGGATTACAGGCATGTGCTATCACACCTGGCTAATTTTTTTGTATTTTTAGTAAAGACTGGGTTTCTCCATGTTGGTCAGTTCAGGTGATCCGCCCGTCTCAGCCTCCCAGTGTGTTGGGATTTATAGGCGTGAGCCACTGCGCCCAGCTATGTTTTTCTTTTTGTAGAATCAGGGTCTTGCCGTGTTGACCAGGCTGATCTTGAACTCCTGGGCTCAAGCAATCCTACCGCGTCAGCTTCCCAAAGAGCCGGGATTACAGGCATGAGCCACTGTGCCCAGTCCAGTGAAGGTATTTCTGGATGTGATTTCAGTGAAGCAGATTACCCTCCATGTGGGTTGGGCTTCATCGAACAGTTAAAGGCTTTAGGAGAAAGACTGAGGTCCGCAGAAGAAATTCTGCCTGCAGACTGCCTCCAGACGCAAGACTAATGCAGCGTGAAGGAATTCCCAGCAGCTGCCCTACCCTACAGATTTTCAACCTGCCAGCCCTTACATTCACATGAGCCAATTCCTTAAAATAAATTTCCATCTCTCTCTCTGTCCCAGAGCTCTCTGTACTTCTCTGGAGAGCGCTGACTAAACACAGCTTAGTAACCTGTCTGAACCTCACCGCCATCCTGCGGTTAAGCTGCAGTGAGGTCAGCCCCGTGTGGCGGTCACCGGGGGCGTTCATTCGCATTCCCCGCCTCCCTCCTCTCTTCCCAGGCACATCCTAGAACTGTACTTCCTAGTCTCCTGTGGGTGGGCGAGGTCATGTGATCAGTTCTGGCCAATGACTTGGGAATGGCAGGGTATTCCTTTCATTTTAAACCTTTCATTGCCATTGTAAGCCCCCATGAAAGCTCACTTCTCCCTCTTAGAGACAGGTATGTCCAGAGTGCAGATGCTTCACCAGCTGGGATCCCGGATGGAGACAAGGATATGGTGGGAGAGCCCTCAGCCCTCCTGAGGTAGTCACGTTGTATGAGTGAAAAATAAACCTTTAGTAAGCTTTGGGGAAAGGCTGGGCACGGTGGCTCATGCCTGTAATCCCAGCACTTTGGGAGGCAAAGGCAGGTGGATCATGAGGTCAGGAGTTTGAGACCAGCCTGGCCAATATGGTGAAACCTCATCTCTACTGAAAATATAAAAATTAGCCAGGCACTGTGGCATGCACCTGTAGCCCCAACTACTTGGGAGGCCGAGGCACAAGAATCACTTAAACCTGGGAGGTGGAGGTTGCAGTGAGCTAAAATCATGCCACTACACTCTAGTCTGGGTGACAGGGCAAGACTCTGTCTCAAAAATAAAATAAAATAAACAAAATAAGCTTTAGGGAAGAAGAACCAGATGTTTCTTACTGCAGCAAAAACAATCCCATGCTGACTGATACATAATGGCACTACCTCATTCACAGGCAGCATGAAAATCAAATGAAAATGAAACTTTTGAACTTTAAGGAACTAGGAGAACAGCAACAGTGGTGCCATTACTTTTAGGACAGGGCCAAGAGACTCATCATGTTTTTAGGGCAGAAGAGAGAGATTAAGAAACAGAAATGATGTGATTTCCTACTGGCACCTACCTGCTTAGGGGGATGTCAGGTGTCCAGAAGGGGTAAATTCGAGCAACAGAATCTCGCATCTGTTCCTGATAGCCCAGGTAAAAATAAGCATCATGGGAAAATTTCAGGGCCAACATGTCAGTCGGGTGGTCCTGGAGAATCTGTTCCCATAGTTCACAGGCTTTCGGAAAATTCCTGGAAACCGAGAAAGATTCCTCACCAACACTGAACGCAGTCCACTCCCGTGGGGAATGGAAGAGGCATCGCTTCTCGCCAGTGTCATGGTCTGCACGGAAGCGGTTTGTTTCGTTTCGTTTTGTTTTTGAGACAGAGTCTGACCCTGTCACCAGGCTGGAGTGCAATGGCATGATCTCTGCTCACTGTAACGTCTGCCTCTCAGGTTCAAATGATTCTCCTGCCTCAGCCTCCCGAGTAGCTGGGATTACAGGCATGTACCAGCACATCCAACTAATTTTTGTACTTTTAGTAGAGACAGGGTTTCACCATATTGGCCAGGATGGTCTCAAACTCCCGACCTCATGATCTGCCCACCTCAGCCTCCCAAAGTGCTGGGATTACAGGCGTGAGTCACTACACCAGCGGGAGTATTTTTTTTTTTTTAATTAGTTTCTATGTTAGGTTTTTGTTTTTTTTTTTTTTTGAGACGGAATTTCACTCGTTACCCAGGCTGGAGTGCAATGGTGCGATCTCGGCTCACCACAACCTCCGCCTCCTGGGTTCAGGCAATTCTCCTGCCTCAGCCTCCCGAGTAGCTGCGACTACCGGCACGCGCCACCATGCCCAGATAATTTTTGTATTTTTAGTAGAGACGGGTTTTCACCATGTTGACCAGGATGGTCTCGATCTCTTGACCTCGTGATCCACCCGCCTCGGCCTCCCAAAGTGCTGGGATTACAGGCGTGAGCCACCGCGCCCGGCCTATGTTAGTTTTTTTAATTGAACTAACTGGTTTTCAGTGGGAAATTTTACTCTTTAGTTCAATTAAAAAAAAAAAAAAAACTGGTTTAACAAATTGCCTAAGATCATCCCACTGGAGACGGTGAGACAGCTGCAGGGAGTCTCTGAGGTAGAACACACCTGGGCAGACTCACCGGGAAGGCCAGGCAGCACTTCCCCGGTCTCGGGGTTGGGAATCCCTGAGCAATCGGCTAAGGTCACCTAACTCTGCAGGGTATCTTGCCTGCCTGAGCAGACATAGGGGCTGTCTCGGAGAATGAGGTGTGGGGAATAGCCGGGGGGCGGGGGGGGTGAGGGGATGGGGGATGACGTGAAAGCCAGTGTGAGAGCACATGGGTGCATATTTGATTTAATCTGATTTTTTGTTTCCCACTAGAAGCATATTTTCTTCTCTTTTCCCTAACCTAGTTAGTTCTGTATGTGACCCTATTATTTTTGTAATGAAAATAATATAGAATTTACTTAATGAAACAAAGTAAGTTACGTTGAACACTAAGTTGGGAATCTTCGCCAACTGCTTCCTCATTCAGCACTCCACCAAGGTTAGAGAAGCAGACAGGATGAGATTTCCTGCCAGAGCATCTCACGAGCCAGGGGGAGAATCATTCTCCCACAGGCCCTCCTCCTGAGGGCAATGGGAAAGGGATACCCTGCCACTCCCCAGCACAGCCTCAGGAGACCAGCTCCTGGCCCAGGGAGGCCCCTCACCCCTTGGCAAATGTCTCTACTGCAGACACGTGCAGCTGCTCCCGCCTTGTCAGCGGCTGGGTTCTTGAAATCTCCACCATTGTCTTCACAGCCAGGTCTAGCTCTTTGTCCAGCTTCACGGAGCTTCCAGTGCCAATCAGCACCAGCCCATTCGAGATGGCGTGGCCCATCACTGGTGGGAGGTAAGAGAACGGCTGGTGATTCAGATGGTCCAGCGCAGCCGAGCCCAGCCCCATGTAGACTCCCCATGCAGCAGTAGGCTGCGCACTGAGGCCCTGGCAACTGCCTAGAACTCAGCCTCGGCGCTTGTCAGGCAGAAGGGTGCGGTAAGCCTGAAAGCAGTCTTGAGCGTTTTTCTAATGAGGGCATTCCGCTGAGTGCCAGTGTCTAAAGCACCTTCCCCCTCACTGGACGAGCCACTTAGTGCGAGGCTGCCTCTGCATCCTCAGCTGACAGTGTCAGCACAGCCAGCACACGCCTCCCGGGAGGCATCAGCGGATGCTGCTCATGAGGGGCTGGACAAGGAGGCTCCGGAGCACAAAAGTCCCGACCCTGTCTGCGCTGCTCACACAGGCTGAAAGTTGGGGTGGGGGGATGTGCCTTGTGGCCTTCGAAGCAGCCTTGCTGGCAGGACTGCAGGCCCCCAGGCCACGCTCTGGAGAGCCAGGGTGTCCACTGACATTTGGAACTTGGTCACTGGCTCAGGACTGGGACCCAGGACCCAACCACAGTGTTAGACCCACTCATTGGGCCCCTGGAAAACAGCTTGTGCTTCCAATAGTCAGGTCCAGCCTGGCCCAGCTGGTGATTCAAGTGGTCAAGGCCCTGATAAGGGCTGGAGGTCTGCTCAGAGTCCGAGCCCGGCTCCAGCTACTGGCTCCCCACGACCGGGCTTGGCCACCCCGTTCTCCCCCCGTTATTTCCTTGCTTGTCCTCTCCAGGGCAGAACGAGCCCCCGGCCTTAAGTCTGACGAGGATGCAGCAGGGTGAGAAGGGGGTCCCTGCTGCCCTGCCGAGAGCCCTGCCTCCTCATCAGCCCTTCTCCCTGGCCTGGAACCTTGTCGCACCCTGGGACCACACCTGCAATGCGCTGTGCTGGCTTCCCCACCCTGGGAACACACACCTGCAATGCACTGTGCTGGCTTCCCCACCCTGGGAACACACCTGCAGTGCACTGTGCTGGCTTCCCCACCCTGGGAACACACACCTGCAATGCACTGTGCTGGCTTCCCCACCCTGGGAACACACACCTGCAGTGCACTGTGCTGGCTTCCCCACCCTGGGAACACACACCTGCAATGCGCTGTGCTGGCTTCCCCACCCTGGGAACACACACCTGCAATGCACTGTGCTGGCTTCCCCACCCTGGGAACACACCTGCAGTGCACTGTGCTGGCTTCCCCACCCTGGGAACACACACCTGCAATGCACTGTGCTGGCTTCCCCACCCTGGGAACACACACCTGCAGTGCACTGTGCTGGCTTCCCCACCCTCGGAACACACACCTGCAGTGCACTGTGCTGGCTTCCCCACCCTCGGAACACACACCTGCAGTGCACTGTGCTGGCTTCCCCACCCTCGGAACACACACCTGCAGTGCACTGTGCTGGCTTCCCCACCCTGGGAACACACACCTGCAATGCACTGTGCTGGCTTCCCCACCCTGGGAACACACACCTGCAGTGCACTGTGCTGGCTTCCCCACCCTCGGAACACACACCTGCAGTGCACTGTGCTGGCTTCCCCACCCTGGGAACACACACCTGCAGTGCACTGTGCTGGCTTCCCCACCCTGGGAACACACCTGCAGTGCACTGTGCTGGCTTCCCCACCCTGGGAACACACACCTGCAATGCACTGTGCTGGCTTCCCCACCCTCGGAACACACACCTGCAATGCACTGTGCTGGCTTCCCCACCCTGGGAACACACCTGCAGTGCACTGTGCTGGCTTCCCCACCCTCGGAACACACACCTGCAATGCACTGTGCTGGCTTCCCCACCCTCGGAACACACACCTGCAGTGCACTGTGCTGGCTTCCCCACCCTCGGAACACACACCTGCAGTGCACTGTGCTGGCTTCCCCACCCTCGGAACACACACCTGCAGTGCACTGTGCTGGCTTCCCCACCCTGGGAACACACCTGCAGTGCACTGTGCTGGCTTCCCCACCCTGGGAACACACACCTGCAGTGCACTGTGCTGGCTTCCCCACCCTGGGAACACACACCTGCAGTGCACTGTGCTGGCTTCCCCACCCTGGTAACACACAACTGCAGTGCACTGTGCTGGCTTCCCCACCCTCGGAACACACACCTGCAGTGCACTGTGCTGGCTTCCCCACCCTGAAAACACACACCTGCAGTGCACTGTGCTGGCTTCCCCACCCTGGGAACACACACCTGCAGTGCACTGTGCTGGCTTCCCCACCCTGGGAACACACACCTGCAGTGCACTGTGCAGGCTTCCCCACCCTCGGAACACACACCTGCAGTGCACGGTGCTGGCTTCCCCACCCTCAGAACACACACCTGCAGTGCACTGTGCTGGCTTCCCCACCCTGGGAACACACACCTGCAGTGCACTGTGCTGGCTTCCCCACCCTCGGAACAAACCTGCAATGCACTGTGCTGGCTTCCCCACCCTGGGAACACACCTGCAATGCACTGTGCTGGCTTCCCCACCCTGGGAACACACCTGCAGTGCACTGTGCTGGCTTCCCCACCCTGGAACACACACCTGCAATGCACTGTGCTGGCTTCCCCACCCTCGGAACACACCTGCAGTGCACTGTGCTGGCTTCCCCACCCTGGGAACACACACCTGCAGTGCACTGTGCTGGCTTCCCCACCCTGGGAACACACACCTGCAATGCACTGTGCTGGCTTCCCCACCCTGGTAACACACAACTGCAGTGCACTGTGCTGGCTTCCCCACCCTGGGAACACACACCTGCAATGCACTGTGCTGGCTTCCCCACCCTGGTAACACACACCTGCAGTGCACTGTGCTGGCTTCCCCACCCTGGGAACACACCTGCAGTGCACTGTGCTGGCTTCCCCGCCCTGGGAACACACACCTGCAATGCACTGTGCTGGCTTCCCCACCCTCGGAACACACACCTGCAATGCACTGTGCTGGCTTCCCCACCCTGGGAACACACACCTGCAGTGCACTGTGCTGGCTTCCCCACCCTCGGAACACACACCTGCAGTGCACTGTGCTGGCTTCCCCACCCTCGGAACACACACCTGCAGTGCACTGTGCTGGCTTCCCCACCCTGGGAACACACCTGCAGTGCACTGTGCTGGCTTCCCCACCCTGGGAACACACACCTGCAGTGCACTGTGCTGGCTTCCCCACCCTGGGAACACACACCTGCAATGCACTGTGCTGGCTTCCCCACCCTGGTAACACACAACTGCAGTGCACTGTGCTGGCTTCCCCACCCTCGGAACACACACCTGCAGTGCACTGTGCTGGCTTCCCCACCCTGGGAACACACACCTGCAGTGCACTGTGCTGGCTTCCCCACCCTCGGAACAAACCTGCAATGCACTGTGCTGGCTTCCCCACCCTGGGAACACACCTGCAATGCACTGTGCTGGCTTCCCCACCCTGGGAACACACCTGCAGTGCACTGTGCTGGCTTCCCCACCCTGGGAACACACACCTGCAATGCACTGTGCTGGCTTCCCCACCCTCGGAACACACACCTGCAGTGCACTGTGCTGGCTTCCCCACCCTCGGAACACACACCTGCAGTGCACTGTGCTGGCTTCCCCACCCTGGGAACACACACCTGCAGTGCACTGTGCTGGCTTCCCCACCCTCGGAACACACACCTGCAGTGCACTGTGCTGGCTTCCCCACCCTGGGAACACACACCTGCAGTGCACTGTGCTGGCTTCCCCACCCTGGGAACACACACCTGCAGTGCACTCTGCTGGCTTCCCCACCCTGGGAACACACCTGCAGTGCACTGTGCTGGCTTCCCCACCCTGGGAACACACCTGCAGTGCACTGTGCTGGCTTCCCCACCCTGGGAACACACACCTGCAGTGCACTGTGCTGGCTTCCCCACCCTCGGAACACACACCTGCAGTGCACTGTGCTGGCTTCCCCACCCTGGGAACACACACCTGCAGTGCACTGTGCTGGCTTCCCCACCCTGGGAACACACACCTGCAATGCACTGTGCTGGCTTCCCCACCCTGGGAACACACACCTGCAATGCACTGTGCTGGCTTCCCCACCTCGGACCACACCTGCAGTGCACTGTGCTGGCTTCCCCACCCTGGGAACACACACCTGCAATGCACTGTGCTGGCTTCCCCACCTCGGACCACACCTGCAGTGCACTGTGCTGGCTTCCCCACCCTGGGAACACACACCTGCAGTGCACTGTGCTGGCTTCCCAACCTCGGACCACACACCTGAAATGCACTGTGCTGGCTTCCCCACCCTCGGAACACACACCTGCAGTGCACTGTGCTGGCTTCCCCACCCTCGGAACACACACCTGCAGTGCACTGTGCTGGCTTCCCCACCCTGGGAACACACACCTGCAGTGCACTGTGCTGGCTTCCCCACCCTGGGAACACACACCTGCATTGCACTGTGCTGGCTTCCCCACCCTGGGAACACACACCTGCAATGCACTGTGCTGGCTTCCCCACCTCGGACCACACCTGCAGTGCACTGTGCTGGCTTCCCCACCCTGGGAACACACACCTGCAATGCACTGTGCTGGCTTCCCCACCTCGGACCACACCTGAAGTGCACTGTGCTGGCTTCCCCACCCTGGGAACACACACCTGCAGTGCACTGTGCTGGCTTCCCAACCTCGGACCACACACCTGAAATGCACTGTGCTGGCTTCCCCACCCTCGGAACACACACCTGCAGTGCACTGTGCTGGCTTCCCCACCCTGGGAACACACACCTGCAGTGCACTGTGCTGGCTTCCCCACCCTGGGAACACACACCTGCAATGCACTGTGCTGGCTTCCCCACCCTGGGAACACACACCTGCAATGCACTGTGCTGGCTTCCCCACCTCGGACCACACCTGCAGTGCACTGTGCTGGCTTCCCCACCCTGGGAACACACACCTGCAATGCACTGTGCTGGCTTCCCCACCTCGGACCACACCTGCAGTGCACTGTGCT